ATTGAGCGCCCCACCACATGAGTCCTCAGGTAATTGTGGAGACAAACAACAGCCATAACTAAATTTCGAGCATCATCAGGGTCATATCTCATGGGTGCTCTAAAAATCTGAAATCGAGCACCCATAACTCCAAAGGCATTTTCAGAGCATCGACGAGCTCTACTCAATCTATAATTACAGAAAAAAATATGTTAGCCTTCCTACACATAATGTAAAACAAACAATTCCAAAGACATATCACTCACCTGTAGTTAAATATTCTTCTGTCTAACCTATTTGAGCATGTGTCCTTTGGATAGGGCATCATTACTTTTTCTGATAAAGTAAATCCTTCATCACCAACTATGACATATGGAAAAAAGGCTGGGTATAACAGTTGCCATGTAAAAGTCTGGTAAAGTTACAGGGGTCTGTAAAATTACAGACCCTGGTAGAACTAACTCCACAAAATTTCTGTAAAACTGATACCAAACGTTTCTGTAGTTATGTTTACGCACGTTCTCTGTAATTTTCAACCACATTCTTCTGACGTGATACATGCAAGAAAAAAATATTTTCGGCGGCTGTTTTCTTGTGCTCCATTTCATAGTCAAACGCCTTCAGGTTTCATTGGTGAAACTTCTTTTACAGCTTGAACCCCTCATCCGTTTGGCTCTATCTTTAACCATTTAGGCCCCACAGGGAGGTTTTGACGAAAACAAGCGAAAAAAAGGACAACCCTGCATGCTTAGTCGAAGTGACGGGAAGTTGAGTTGACGGGCCGGAGGGGAGGCCCGTATCTTTGTGTCTAGGTTTGCGCTACCCGATTCGGGTGTCAGCGCCGCAGGCCTAGGTAGATGTATGCCAGGCGCGTCGCAGCGCAAAAGTGTTTCATGAGATATCGCGAAGCCTGTTAAGCAAGACGTGGTCTGGCGTACATCTTCCTAGTTGATATTGTTCTTCCATTATGAATGTAATACGATGATTTTGAATGGAACAACCCATTACGTTCTAATTGTTTAAATAACGTGGAACACTTGTCTTTGACCTTGTTTTCCTCCCGAATGTGAGAGTAATATTGAAATCATATTTGTGGCTTTTACTTTTAAAGCAAGGTACAGAGGTTTGTTTGGAGATGAGGTGTTGTATTCTCCTCTTCTTAAAATGCTTACTCAGCTTGAGAGGGAGGGTATTTTAGTTAGTACTAGTGATGGACCGAAACGTGTATATTTTTTACGAGTCTTGTTCTTGGTGACAATCTTGGTATTATTCTCTTGGTAGTTTCGAGAGTCCTTTGATGCTAGTTATTGTTATTTTTATGTAATATCAAATAAGTTGGCACCACTTGTCATCACTCTTTTGTTCTTGTCAATATAAGCTAGTGCACTGACCTTGCTCCTCATTCTTCGTGGAAATAAACTTATTGACGCCAATTATCTCCGAGCTCTCATTTATAAAAACTTCAGGTTATGAGGCCCAGCTACGTACCACGTGTGAAGTGAAGTGAACCTCTGAACAGTGAATTTTGTGTGAGTGTGTGTGCCCTGCAAGTGTGAGTGAGATCTGAGCCATGCCGTTGACACTTCGAGAGCGCCGGGCGCGCAATGCCGAAGCTGAACAGATTCAACGGATGCAACGACAGATTCGCCGTCTTACCCAACAGCTCCAGAATGGGGGAGGAAGACATGGACCAGAAGACAATGTTCCAGAAGTGAACTCATCTGTACCAAATCTTCCAGTGGAAGACAAGCTAGAGGGGGCACTCAACTACCAAAACTGGACGTTCGCCATGGAAATGGTATTGAGGCACAGCAAACTCTGGAGAGTTGTAACTGGCGAAGAAACCAATGCAAGAAACTCCGAGGCAGCCTATACAACGATTTGCATGAATATCAAGCCTTCAGTCTATCCTCATGTGAGGGACTGCAGAACTGCAAAGGAAGTAGGGCAAGCTCTGGAAAGAGCGTACAATGATGAAGGTACCATAAGAAGAATGAAAATTCAGAGATTTCTCCATAGAGTAAAACTAGAAGACTACGATGGGATAGAATCATATCTGACTGACATTAAGTCTAATACTCAAGCCCTCTCGGAACTTGGCAAACCCATGGATGACAGTGATATTTGTGATGTCATCCTTGGGGGTCTAACAGAAGAATATGAACCAATGATCCTAGGAATGGAGGGATCTGGCAGAGAAGGCGCTTCCCTTGACCTGAATACTACCTTGATGAGAAGACGAATTAGAAAAGGCGAGGATAGTGATACATAAGCTATCTATGCCAGACAGAAGAAAGGAGCAGAAAATTGTTGTTATAACTGTGGTGAACCTTGCCAGACCCTGCACTGCAGACAATAAGTTTGGCAACCGTAGTGGAAACTCATTTCAACCTAAGCAGTCGCCGCAGCAGAAGCCTCAAGATGAAGAAGATCGATATGAGAGATATGAGCGACATGATCGACGTGATAGAGATCGACGATGTAAACCACAAGGCAGTAGAAATGTAAAGAAAAAAAGAAGAGTATAAAATCTGGCTTTACTGTCATTTCTCAAGACGATGAAAACAAAGAAAACGCAGACGACTTAAGTGATGACTATGCTTTCTTTTCAAAAGTTGTCAGATAGAGTGTCTGTTGATAGAGTGTCAGAGTTCACAAATGGTATGTGTCTGAACCATCTAACCCCGTCTTGTCTGGTTCTAAAGTAGGTTCCTAGTACAAGCTGGACAAACCAGAAGAAGAAGCATATCATGTCATGCGCCCTCTTGCATCGCAGATTTAGACATCCATGTCACAGCGTTCTCAAGAACACCTAGAGGTGTGTCGACGGAATGCACTCAGTTCCAGAAGAAGAAAGCTGCCGTGTCTGTCTCAAGGGCAAGATGACAAAGCTACCCTTCCAATCGAGTGAGAGTGGGCGAGCAACAGAGAAACTTCAGCTTGTCCACAGCGACCTCTTTGGCCCCGTCAAACCTCTGTCCTGGGGTGACAAAAGCTATATTCTCACTTTCACTGATGATCATTCTAGAAAGGTGTTTGTTTATTTCTTTGAAGTGTAAGATTGTAACCTTTGAGAAGTTTAAAGACTTTAAGACTATGGCTAAAAATGAGACTGGTTGTAAGATTAAGTGTTTGAGAACCTATAGTGATACAGTCTATGAAGTATTTGATGGATATATGAGAAAGCATGGTATTGTTCATCAAACCACAGTACCATATAGTCCGGAGCAGAATGGTGCTTCAGAAAGAATGAACCGCACCCTTTTTGATAAAGCGAGATGTTTGCTTCTTGATTCGGGTCTAAATAAGCGCTTTTGGGCGGAAGTCTGGGTATTAAAAGATAGACCAGCTAATAGAAATGTAGTGCAAAGTAAATGGGTGTTTAAAGTGAAATGTGCATCTGATGGTACCCCACAACGATACAAAGCTAGACTTGTGGCGCGTGGTTTTAGTCAGCAACCTGGACCTGGAGTAGACTTTCACGAAACTTTTGCCCCCGTAGCTCGTCACAGTACCCTGCGCCTACTTTTTGCTATTGCCGCAGAAAGAGATTTATCTTACTTTCATTGGGACATGCAAACCGCCTTCCTGTATGGAGATCTCAAGGAAACCATTTATATGGAACCACCAAAGGGCATGTCTACTGGAAATAAGGTCTGCTTATTAAAGAAATCCCTATATGGACTGAAACAGGCCCCAAGATCCTGGAACCAGAAGATAGACAATTTCTTGCAATCAGACAACTTGAAGAATTCAAGATATGACCCCTGCCCGTACATTGATTCTAGCAATGGGAAGCAAACATAAATCCTTCTGTTGGTTGTTGATCTATTTGTTTTCTCCAATGATGGACAGAAAACCACCAGAGTTGTAGTTAAATATTCTTCTGTCTAACCTATTTGAGCATGTGTCCTTTGGATAGGGCATCATTACTTTTTCTGATAAAGTAAATCCTTCATCACCAACTATGACATATGGAAAAAAGGCTGGGTATAACAGTTGCCATGTAAAAGTCTGGTAAAGTTACAGGGAGTTCTGGAATCAAAGAACCGTTCCAGTGGTAACGGCACAGATGATATGTACAAGCCCAAGTGGAGACTCACTTTCCTGAAAGGGACTGTAGCTAAAGAACCATCGTTCTCCAACATCTATGAG